GCCAAAAAGTAAGGAATTGATCAAATACTATTGGGATTAAGGACAAAAGTCAACTGAAAGGGCTCCCACATGCCAAATTTGGGACAAATTGAGCATCAAAAAGAAAATTGTATAACATATTGAACACACAGAATAAGTAAAATGCCATGTGTCCATCCTATATAATAAAGAGCTAATATGCTAATTAGACCAGAAGGCAGAACGACCAGTGGGCCTGCGCGCGCCCCCCGCCCCCTTCTGCAGAGGCAGCAGGAGAGGTGGTGGCACAGTCTAGCGCCTCTGCAGAGGTGGACAGGGCATGACTGCATCGCCTCAACCTCCCACGGCCCCTCCCCCAGCCAGCCTGGCCCCCGATCAGGCCTCCCTCCACCAGTGGGCTGGGCGACAGAGACAACACTAAGGAGCAGCAAGCCCTGGTTCTGGTTGAGTGATGGCCCCCCCTGCCCCCACTCAGCCGGCAGTCGGACATCCCCCTGAGGGCTCCCGGAATGTGAGAGAGTGCAGGCCAGGCTGAAGGACCCCCTTGACACTGGGCCTCTAGTGATAGTATAACGGGGAAGTAAGAGGTGTGTGGGGGGGGTTGGGGAGACAGAGCGAGAGAGAGAGGTTTTTCTTTATCAAAGATGCCAGCTAATAAATGTAGAAAGAAGAATAGAGTTAGAAAATAATCATTTTTAGTTTTTAAAGAAATAGAACAAAAAATCAGTTTTGTATGGAACCACAAGTGACCCCAAATAGCCAAAGCAATCCTGAGGGGGGAAAAAACAAAGTTGGAGGTATTATACTCGCTGACTTCATTTTATATTACAAAATGACAATAATCAAAACAGCATGGTATTGGCAGAAAAACACATATAGACCAGTGGAACAGAATTGAGAGCCTAGAAATAAACACACATGTATCCAAGAAAATAATTTATGACAAAGGAGCCAAAGATATACAATGGAGAAAAGAAAGCCTTTTCAATAAGTGGTGCTAGGAAAATTGGAAAGCTACATGCAAAAGAATGAAATTAGACTACTGTTTGTCCCCATATACAAGAATTAACTCAAAATGGATCGAAGACCTACATATAAGACCTGAAACAATAAATTGCATAGAAGAAAACATCGGTATTAAACTTATGGACCTTGATTTTAGAGAAGATTTTGTCAGTTTGACCCAAAAGGCAAGGGAAGTAAAAGCAAAAATGAATAAGTGGGACTACATCAAACTATAAAGCTTCTGCACAGCAAAAGACACCACCAACAAAACAAAAAGGCAACCAACTGAATGAGAGAAGATATTTGTAAACAACAGCTCTGACAAGGGGTTAATATCCAAAATATATAAATAACTCATACAATTCAGTGCCCCCCACAAAGCAATCCAGTTTAAAAATGGGCAGAGGATCTTAACAGACACTTCTCCCAAGAAGACATACAAATGGCAACAGACACATGAAAAGATGCTCAACTTCACTAGCTATTAGGGAAATGCAAACAAAAACTACCTGTTAGAATGGCTATTATCAATAAGACTAATAATAACAAATATAGAGAAAAAGGAACCCTCGTTCACTGCTGGTGGGAATGTAAACTGGGACAGCCGCTATGGAAAACAATAAGCCATAAGAAAAGATGAAATACTGCCATTTATGACAACATGGATGGATCTTGAGAATATTATGTTAAACAAAATAAGTCAGAAAAAGGCAAGAGCCATATTATTTCACTTATATGTGGGATATAGAACTGAAAAGCAACAAATGAACAAACAAGAAAAAAAACACCCCAAAACTCATAAACACAGACAACAGTATAGTGGTTACCAGAGGAAAGGGGGCTGAGAGGGTAAAGGAGGTCAAATGTATGGTGACACAAGATATGACTTTGGGTGGTAAACATACAAAGCAATATATAAATCATGTATCAGAAATGTCAATTCGACCCAAAAGGCAACCTCTATAATTTTATTAACCAGTGTCATCTCAATATATTTAATTTAAAAATGGAAACGGCCCTAACCGGTTTGGCTCAATGGATAGAGCGTCGGCCTGCGGACTCAAGGGTCCCGGGTTCGATTCCGGTCAAGGGCATGTACCTGGGTTGCGGGCACATCCCCAGTGGGAGATGTGCAGGAGGCAGCTGATCGATGTTTCTCTCTCGTCGATGTTTCTATCTCTCTATCTCTCTCCCTTCCTCTCTGTAAAAAATCAATAAAATATATTTTAAAAAATCAAAAAAAAAAAAAGGAAACGAAAAACACACACAAGAAAATAAGTATTTTGTCCCCCTCCCCCATATAATAACTCATTCCAGCAAGGATCATCAATGGCTGCTTAAAACTATTAGGTAAAAGATAGTTGGGGGTCAGAGTAGTTGTATGGTACCAAAATATCACACTGTAGATTACCTACTCATTGCAAAGGGGAAAGCGTATTTTGGAGTTCATCGGAGAGGTCTGGCAGTCACCATCTTAGTGAAATGATCAAAATTAGCATATTGACACTAAGTGCCTTTTGTTGGAATGTTATCCAAAGTACATAATATCATCTATGAAAGATTTTTGCCAAAAATATCAACAAGCATCTATTTAAGCCCCTACACCTAACTTTAAGTTTACAGGAAATATAGGGAATAGAAGTACAAGTTAAATGAAGCTGTGAGGGAAACACAAATCCAAGTACTCTTCCCTTGGCTCCTTTTGGTTGAGTCTAGAGCAGGGGTTCTCAACCTGTGGGTCGCTACCCCTTTGGGGGTCGAATGACCCTTTCACAGGGGTGGCCTAAGACCATCAGAAAACACATATATAATTACATATTGTTTTTGTGATTAATCACTATGCTTTAATTATGTTCAATTTGTAACAATGAAATTGGGGGTCACCACAACATGAGGAACTGTATTAAAGGGTTGCAGCATTAGGAAGGCTGAGAACCACTGGTCTAGAGCAAGCATGCCAAACTCAAAGGCTAACATGGGCCAAATAAACAAGGTTTAAGTTTATGTGGGCCACAAAAAAACAAAAGCTTCAATGTTCATAGAAACTTAGGTTTATTTTGATAGAGACATTCTGAATACAAAGGGCTGAAATAAATGAGTAATCATTAACATAAAATAATAAAACATTTTACTAAAAATTAATATTTTTTTCTTCAACATTAACTTACCAGACACTGAATAACTGCACAAATTAATAAGCGTAACACAAATAAACCTATTTTTCTTGTTCTCTGAAAGCAAAATATTTCCTGTTGTGCACACCAAACAAGTCAGTCCAAGACCAATGACATGGCAATCGGCTGCTAAAATATTCACTGCTAGTATTAGTGAAGAGAAAAGGTGCGCCTGTGCGTAAGGCGCATAAGGGAAATGAATGCAACACGATTATAGTAATCAGTCATTAGTGAACGTTGTAGTTTGTTATTAATAAATATGTATAATAGGATATTGTAAAAATTATGAAATTTAAAAAATATATACTTTTTTTATTTATTTCAGAGGGGAAGGGAGAGAGATAGAAACATCAATGATGAGAGAGAATCAGTCATCGGCTGCCTCCTCCACACCCCCACTGGGGATTGAGCCCACAAGCCAGGCATGTGCCCTTGACCGGAATCGAACCTGAGACCCTTCTGTCTGCAGGCCGACGCTCTATACAGTGAGCCAAACCAGCCAGGGCAAGTTACAAAATTTTTATTAAAACGTTTCTTACATACTGTTATATTGGCTGGGCTGCAAAAATATTTGTTGTGGGCCACGAGTTTGACATGGTTGGTCTAGGGCTGGTTATCATATCACATTGACAGCTGGCAGGAAGGCCAAGCAGTTAAAAGTCCAGGCCATTTGACATTTGACGGTCATGGGCTGGCTATGAAATAAACAGGCTTGTGAAAAGTGATAGGTTAAAGAGGCAGAGGAGAGAAGGGTGGTGAAAAAAATGTTGGAAGAAGTTTTATGTTCCAGTCATGACTCTGCAAATGACTGTCGGACTTTGAACAAACCAAATCTCCATTCTGAGCTATCTCTGAAGTTTCATCTCTGAAGTGAGGGAAGTAGACAAAGCATTTCCCAGGGTCCTTCCTATGCCAAAGCCCCCTGGTTCGGAGAACTGCTTGGACCCTATGTTGCTTTGGGAAACATAATATTGTTGATGCACATTTATCTCTTGGATCTTGGAGAATGATTTTGGAATCTATACTTGTGTATGACCACTCAGCTATATGTCCTTTAGAAGATCAGATTTTTTAGTATATGTGAAGAGTAATAAATCAGGAAGAGGTTCTTATGACAAACAGAACTAGCATTTGTAAAAGCAAAACCTTTCTGAGAAGGTACTTAAACCTTTCTGGGAAGGTAAAGCACTTGGGCTAATGTGACCAAGGTCTCCAAGCAAGGTTAAAAGGATGACTGTGTGACCATCAGAAAATCAGTCTACTTTCTAGATTCAACTCCTTCCTTCATAAAATGGGGATTGGGTCTTGTTTTAAAAAATGTCAAATGTAGCATTTGAATTTCCTTTCCCATGAAGGAATATAGGATAACGGAAAGAGCATCGTTTTAGAGTTAGACCTGTGTTTGAATCTTCATAGCAATGAGATCTTAGACAACTGTAGTTACATCCTCTGAGCTAAGTTTTTTCTGCAAAATAGGGATGAAAAAGCATACCTCATAGGGAGATTGTCACGGTTCAGTGAGATAACTTAATACATTACTTTGTCTACAGTAGATATTTCCTTCTCTTCTTCCTGTTAATTTTATAGGGTGGAGTGGGGGGGGGTAGTGGAACCTCCTGGGATGCCTTTCCCCTGATGTTGCCAGTCAACCATATTTTCCCTAACTTTTTCCTCCAAGGGGCACACTGCCACTTCTAGTCTTGTCACAGAATGAGTCTTTGGAGGGTTAAACGACCATTATGATGATTGCTGCTGCTCAGGGTCACTCTTCTCAGACACATCATAGAGCTAGCAAAACCCAGAGAAAAGATAGCACATGGAGAGACTGCAGATCTGACTTACCAGATGAGTTGTGACAATAGGCCCTGAACTTTTGGCTGGGTGAATTTCTCCAAACCAGGACACCTATCCCGTTCTTTCCACACTTCGGGTTTGGGTGAATCCGAGGGATGACTAAGACCTGATCTGCAACCCATCCATAGCTGTAACAGAATACATATTAGTTGAATGGATACATTTATCTCTATGGCTGAACAAGAACACAGAGCCAAAAGAGGTCCGACCGTGTTTGTGAATCCAGCTGTTCTCACCTGCAAGTCTCAAAGCCAGACTTCCATGCTGCTTCAACCTGATCTTTGCTGGCAAAAGTTAGTCCCATCAGCTCACAGGCCTCCTTGGCTTCTGTGAAATTCAGCTGCACATTTGTCTTTTTGGTCAAAAGGGTGACTCCCATAATTCTGCATTGCACTAAGAAGGAAAGTTCTGCAAAGGAATCACATACACCTTCAGTGTGCTGCTATCCTTGTTCATAGCCCTTAGGCTCCTCTTCCCAGCACAGCATTATAAGCTCAATGCAGCAATGAGGTCATTGTGGTTGGGATTGAAGTTTAGGAATAACAGGACACAGGCCAGACATTTCCCACAAGGACATTCTGCTGGGTTAGGTGGGTGCTTGGTCTGATCCAAGCTGTATCTCTCATCAGACCTGAGTCCACTCTATCACACTGCATTAAGGTGCCTTGTCCATTACATGGAGGAGGCTTCAGCTACTAGTTCCTGAGGTGGGGTCTAGATGATGCTGTTGCTGCAGACCTTTTGAAGTCTATTAAATGAACAGTCTGAGACTCTGAGAAAGATAGAATTCAGGGCTAATAGCATAGTTAGTGACACTCCAAACTAATGTGCTTTGGAGATACCACTATTTTCTGAGATGGGCTGAAAAATGGTGCATTCAGTATAATATGAGCTTTCTCAGTCTCAAGCCTACTCTAACCATTGGGGGGCAGACTTACTCAGAAGTTCCTGGAGGAGCTGGGCAGTAAACCTTGCATGGCAGAGAAATTAAATGAAGCAGAGTTTTAAAGTCAGACCTGGATTTGAATACACCTATGTCACTTGTTCTGTGACCTTAGGCTAGTTGTTTCATCTCTCAGCCTCAGTTCCCTTACTTACAAAACTGAGAGGGTAACAATATGTATTTTATAGAGTAGTGAGTTAAATGAGTTACTCCCAATAAAAATGCTTAGCATAGTGCCTGCTACACAATAGGTACTCATTAAAACATAAATAACATTATCATGTTATCTTCAAAGCAGTTGAATAGTTAACATGTGAATATTTTACTAAAAAACTTAATGAATCTGAGAGATCTTTTGATCCCTTCAGAGTTCTAAGATTTATAGATTTATATGAAATTATGAGTTGCCTTGCACTCAGGTACATTATGTCTATTGGGCTTAATCCACAAAAGTTCATAAAAGAGCATTTCAATCTCCCAAGTAATTGCCTGTACACAGATCTGTGCACTGGGTGCCCAGTCAAATGCTTTGAACACTTTCTGGGTTAGCATTTAAAGGAAGTTTCTTCTTGAAAACATGGAGGGAGCATTTCTAAGTCCTCCGTGTGATCTTGCTCTGCTCTGGATCAGGGGACTGCGGGAAGGAATACATATTTTATGTACAATATTTGTGATGGCCTTGTTTGCTGTCAGACCCTGCTCTCACCAAAAGAGAGACCTGAGAGCCAACACTCCAATGTGAGTGTTTGTGACAAAATAGCCTCTAATGTTAATACCAATAAAATTCCAACTTCTATAATCTGTTGATGCTACTCTGTGCCAAACCCTGTCTCTTTTTCTTTTTATAAAAATAAACATTTTATTTTTTTAATTTAATTAAATTTATTTATTTATTTACCTAGTCTCTTTTTAACTGGAAATTGAGGCTCAGGGAGATTGAATAACTTTCCCAAGCCCAAGGATACAGAGCAAGTAGGTGGCAGATTGAGGGCACAAACCCAATTACAACTGACTCTAAAACCCCAGTTCTTAACTCAGACACTGTTCTGCTTCCCACTGTGCTATGGGGAAAAGATGAACACACACACACACACACACAATTAGAGCTGAACTCTTGGAACACACCATTTGTCCTAGAATTTGGCTCATTTAGCCCATGAGCGTGTTATTGCTCAAACCTCTTAGTGCTGTTTTCTTTGGTGGGGGGATACTTGTAGGTTTATTAATTACACTATAAAGTAGTCTTGATACTCTCTCATCATACCTCATTTTTTACTCTAAATAGTAGTAGTAGTAGTAGTAGTAGTAGTAGTAATGATAGGCCTATTCTGGGAATGGACCTAGCTTTGAATATTTCTTGTAATGTTAATTAGCTGTGGGACCTTGGGCAAGTTAGCGTTCTCATCTATAAAATGGGGATGGTTATTTCTTGTTCATAGAATTTTGTCAGAATTAATTTAGATAACTTGTACCTAGCAAAGACTGGGTCCATAGTAGGCAGTTAACAAATATTAGGCAAATTTAAGCTTTTCTATTTTCTTAAGACAAAACTAGGAAGCTGGTATTCAAGGGTTATGCTAGTAATCTCTTAGGAGTTTTCAGGAGACAACAGGCATACTAGAAATAGTATATGCTTAGCAGACAGAGCTGAATCCAAACCCAAGCTTTATTATTTACTGCCTATGACATTAGGCAAGTCACTTGGCCTCACTGAACCTGTTTCTTCATCTATAAAATGTCTTCTTGAGATATTATTCTCAAGCATAGGAACACATAATTTTCCTTTTAAAGTGCTCAGATTTTTATTTTCCCAGAGTTGTAATGAGTGATTTGTGGTTACACTTTTTTTGCCTACAATGCAGAATGAGGTTACCATTTAGGCATCTGAAAAGCCCAGAAACCATTTCAAGTCATTCCTTTTTCATATATAATACACACACACACACACACACACACACACACACACACACTTAATTCTGTATCTCTACATAATAATTCCTCAAGGATACTGTCTCCCATCCTCATCCACTCACCTTCAACAGCCACCTTTTCCTCAATCATGGTTCTGAATAACTGTCAGTTGTTTCCAAAAATTTAATTTCCTTAGGAAATCTTTACCATTATTGACAATGGTCCAAAGAGTGTGACAGAGTCATTGTCAAAGAACAATTTCCAAAATAGCTTGAGTAATGGCAACATTTTGGGGAAAAGTGAATAGTCTTCTCAGGGGGATTTCAAAGAGGACCAACTTATTTGACAGTAACAGTTCTGGTATTTGAAAAAAAAATCAATTATATAACTCTAGCCTCCCCTTTAAAATTAAGTACAACAATATATGAATCAACTCTGGATGTCTGTTCCCAACATATTTTATATCTCAGGGTAGCTTCCAGAATAGGAATACTCAATTTTTCTTTTAATGTACTCAGAGTTTCATTTTGCCCAGAGCTGAAATGAGTGATTTGTGGTTAGTTTTTTTGCTTACAGTGCAGGATGAGGTTACCATTTAGGCATCTCAAACCCCAGAAATCATTTCAAATCATTCCTTTTGTAGAGAGCTGATGGCTAATTTTCAAACCTATATTTCACAATTTTTCCAGTTAATTTGCTATTTACTACATATTAAGAATATATGCATCTCATGATAATATAATAAAATTGAAATTAAAATAATTATATTTCACTTTAAAAAATATAAAACAGGCCAATATTCCGTGAAAGTTATTTTTCCCAGGCTTAGAGATTGCTTAAAAATGTTTACAATCATGATTTGCTTCTTCAATGAAAGATTTTTAAAACAAATGATCTCACCCTAGCTGGTTTGGCTCAGTGGATAGAGAGTCGGCCTGTGGACTGAAGGGTCCCGGGTTCAATTTTGGTCAAGGGAACAAACCTCAGTTATAGGCTCAATCTCCAGCCCTTGTCAGGGTGCATGCAGGAGGCAATCAATTGATGTCTCTCTCTCACATAGATGTTTCTCTCTCTGTCTCTCCCTCTCCCTTCCACTTTCTCCAAAAAAAAAAAAAAAAAAATCAATGGAAAAATATCCTCTGGTGAGGATTAAAAAAATAAAATAAGAACAAATGATATCTACTTAATGTTTTCTTTCAAAATATTCTCATTAAAAATAGTCCATAACCAAAAATAAAGTCAAGATAACATAAAGGTAAAATATGAATCATTTTGGTAAAATTTACAATATGGTGAAGACATTTCTTGCAGACTGATACTATTAGATCTTCTATGTACACTGAGGGTCATCCCCACTCCCAGCAATCCACAGTAAAGAATTCAGTAGACTTAGGATAGGTTGTAAGATCTTGCCTTGCCTCAGGTTGGCATTCTACTAAGAAACCTACCTTTTACCTGGACAGAGCCTTGAACCAAAAGCCTTGTGGTCCAGATGGAGGCAAGAAGCAACACCAGGCTGAAGTACTTGGTCATTGTGCCAACCCCTTCAGAGCCAGAGGAACACCTCAGACAGCCACTGGCAGTAACAAAGGCATGCAATCACCAGTCTGGATGGAGACTTCTGGAAATATGTTGTGGTCCCCACTGCTCCACTTCATAATCGAGACATCCGGATTTCCCTGTTTTCAAGCTTCTGACTTGTCAAGGTCACTGAGGGAAGTGAGTGACGCCCCTTGAATGCTCAGGCTGTACTTTGTGGATAGCTTTCTGGAAAATTTAGCTAATGCTGACTCAGAAAGCACAGAAATGAGGAAGGCAGATAGCACAATGTGAACTGCTGACGGTTTCCCCAATTCCCATATTCCCTGCCACTGCCCACCACCCCCACCAGGTCGTTCTCACACACCCATTGCTATTGTCTGTGGAGCCCATTCATTTACTCCTAGGATTGTCTCTGTCTGTAAAGGAGATTGAGAATGGGTTGTGCTTTCCTCTCATAATCAGTGGGGGTTTTCCCAGCTGCATATTCTTCTGATCTATAGGGGAATGGTGCTAACAGGTTCATGAAAGCAAATGCCCATTTAAATACAAAAGATAGAGTCTCATGCCTCCCTTTTGGACTTACTTTATACATTTAAATTTTCTCTACCACCACAGGTGATTCCTTCTTCAAATAAACCAGGCACACACAAAAATCATATTTAAAAAATCCAAGTAGGGGGACAGTTTACAAAGTTAGTCATTTTATACTTTACAAAAAAAGGGTTTTGACTTGATAACAGGAATTACTACAAGGGTCCTTTAATAATAACTCTTTCTTTAATAACTTCTCTTATAGACCAAATAACTTCTCTGATAGACCAACATTCAATTTAGACTTCCCCTTTCTCATTTGATGAAGGTGAGGTTTATCTGTACTGTATATGAGCAGACTATATTCTGTTTTGCCTGGATTTTCAGTGGTTGATCCCCATTGTAATTATGGAATTCTGGCTTGAGAGTAATGCCTTAAGCAAAGGTTTATGAGTTTTCTTCAAAATGAATGTCATTTATAGGAATAGTGAATGGACAACTAGTTCTTTTCTCTATGAATGGTATCCATAAGTTAGATATTTGTACAGAAAATACCAATAGCAAAAGGAGAATCTGCTCTGCACAAACACAGGGAACTTCTTAAGATACTGGGAGATAGCCCTTAAATATATCCAATATCTAAATATCATAATATCTTTAGACATCATTACTTAGGTGAGCATAAGCCTCGGGCTATGGGTACCTCAGAAACATATGTGACTATCACCATAGAACCAGGTAGACAGGAAGCAGGAATCATATCCCCTTCATCACTATCCTTAAAGCCTAGCATCATGCCTGAAAAAGAGCATTTGTTAAGTATTAAAAAAGAAAGAAGGAAGGAAGATAGAAAGGGGGAAAAGGAATCACAGAAAACATGAGTTAAAGTGATATTTAATCTGATATATGCATATAAAATTTAAATAGAGTAGACATTTTGAAATGTGGCAAGAAAGTTGGTAATAGAGTACAACCCATATTCCTGGGCTGAGGGTAAGATCTAAATATTAGTTTAAGTTCCAACACCAATTATCTGTGTGACTTTGAGCAAGCCACTTAACCTCCGTAGGCCTCAGATTTATCATCTGCTGAATAAGGGAGTTAAATTATATGAATTTAAAATTAACATAGAAATATAATTATATGATACTGCTATTACAGGGACTAGTTGTTTTCTAACATATATAAATAGGCAAATAAATGGATTAGTCAGTGTAGTCTGTTATAACAAACAACCCCGAATATCAATACCTTAATAAAATAAAAGTTACTTCTCTCATGTTGCAATCCAATGGCTGACAATAGTGGTGGCAGCGGTGGTGGTGATAGTGACAGTTGTAGAGATGGTAGTGTTGGTGTATATGTGTGGGAGGGATTTGGCCACACACAGTTATTCAGAAACTGTGTAGCTCTACCATCACTTAATACTTCAGTTCCCTCCTCCTCAAGATTGACATTGAACCAGCAACCAATGGAAGGGCATGTGGAGGAGGATGCTGGAGATTACTATAGGGGTCAGGCCTGGGAAGTGGCTATCTCACTTCCAACCATATCCCATTGGACAGAACTTTGTCACATGTTCCCATCTCACTGCAAAGGAGTCTGGAATGCAATTTAACTTTGTGCCCAGGAGCAAAAGGAAAAATGAATTGGTGAACCCATAGCAGTTTTTGCCATAGTTTTCCCTTTTGATCACCCTGTATAGGTTTCACTATTCCTATCACACACAGAATAAAGTCACTCTGTTCTCAAAGGAGACAATTCCAGGCCCCTTCCAGCTCAAAGTCCATGATCTCTGAGTTATGTTCAGCCATCCCTGTCAGGTCCAGCTGTGGTACTCTGCAGTCTGGTAACCTATGAACTAAAAAAGTTGTATGCTGCCCCCCAAATGTAATCTGGGGTGAAGCAGGATCTTGATAACCTCAGTAAACACTGCCATGTGCAAAGGAGAGGAATAGGAGACACAGCAGTCACCTGGCCATAGGGGTTCTGGAATAAGAGACATTATAAAAGCCACTAGATCAGCTTTCTTTTGCTGCGTGACAAATTACTGCAGACTTAATGACTTAAACCAACACCCATTTATTATCTCACCATTCTGTAGATCAGAAGTCCCAGTGGGCTCGGCTGGGTCCTCTGTTCTGGGTCCCACAAGATTAAAATCAAGGTGCCAGCTGGGCTGGGCTCTCACCTGGAGGCCCTGGGAAAGAATCCATTTCCATGCTTATTCAAGTTGGTGGAAGAATTTTAGAATTTCTGCCTACCACAGTTGCCTACCTTGGATTAGATCCTGATTCTGCTTTCTGGGAGAAACTGCCATGTCCCATGTCCACTGTTCTCTGTGCCCTTCATTTTGTACCATCTTTTTTGGTCCACTTTAGTGGGAATTAGAGAGTTATGCCTTGCTTTTACTACTGGCTTTCTGCTGGTATAAGCTTAGGATTCCCAAAATTATTTTCCAACTTGAACAACAAAAGGAGTGTTTAATTCTGGCTTATGTTTCTTTGTAAATACAGTTTCCTCACAAACTTAGATTTCTGATCTGTTTGCTTCCATTTGATCCCATGTGTCAATAATTATACCCCAAATCCTTTCCCAGTAACAATTCTCAAGATATATTTCTTTGTTTTTTCAGCCCCTTGCCTCTCTCTCTCTCTCTCTCTCTCTCTCTCTCTCTCTCTCTCTCTCTCTCTCTCTATCTCTATCTCTATCTCTTTCTCTCTAATTTAATGGTGGCTAGTTCATTTAAAAGCATGAATGGAATATCCTTAATCTGGTCTTTGCGGTATGACTAAGTTGATCTGGGTTCAACTGAGAAATTTTATGGGTTCTTTTTTACTCACAGCTCTTTTTAGCTTTACTTTTTGGGGTTTAGAAGCAGTCACATTTTCTAACCCTTCAGTCTGAAAACTCTATTTTTCTCCTTTCTCCATCCAAATAGCCAATTTTTTGCTGAGTGATTTTTTTCTTGCAGTACCTTGCCAAAGACAGCCAATAAAATTCACTCTAACACTCTGATTCTTTCCTACTACTTCTCCTATACATAGGCTGTCCTTGAGTTTACTCTAAATCAGTGGTTCTCAACCTTCTGGCCCTTTAAATACAGTTCCTCATGTTGTGACCCAATCATAAAATTATTTTCGTTGCTTCTTCATAACTGTAATTTTGCTACTGTTATGAATCGTAATGTAAATATCTGATATGCAGGATGGTCTTAGGCGACCCCTGTGAAAGGGTCTTTCGACTGCCAAAAGGGTCGTGACCCACAGGTTGAGAACCGCTGCTCTAAATTATCATGGGTAAGACTTGACCAAATATTTTTGTTTTATTCACAACATGGGTCACACTATTTCCAGTCCCTGATATTAGTTTCTTATTTCCTGCCACTTGAGTGCTAAGCCAGTGCTTCATATTTTGAAAATTTGTTAATGAAGCACCCCATTTCTGGTTCAAATGTATGCATTAGTCAGGGTAGACTAACTGCTATAACAAATATTTCTGAATTTCTGTGGTTTAATACACTAACATTTTGTTTCTTGCTCACGTCACAGTTGAATGCTATGAGTGCCCATTCAAAAACTCAGCTTCCACCTAGTGGTTCTGCCAACTTCTTGGGCCTCAACTGAATCCTCTGAATTTGATAGGAACAGAGGGGAATAAGGAGAGTGTAAAGTATTGGGTAAGATAGTTGTGTTTCTAGGAAACTTGATCTGAAGGTCTACATTTCCCTGCATCTAGCTGCAAGAAAGACTGAAAGATGTAGTCTACCTATGGAAATTAGGTTGGTAAACACTCACCAGTCTCAATCACAGAAAAATGTATTAATTACAAAAACCATGGGCAGAGAAGGTACTGGAGAACTAGTATCAGGCATAGGGAAGAGGAGAGGAATTGATCCAGCTTCTGTGACTGGGGACTTCTGGCTTGCTTCTGGGAGACGCTAATAGCCAATGGGGCAATATTGTTGGCTTGGCTCCACAAAATGAGGAGGCATTTAGCTATTGTCAGAGGTTTGGAAATGTGCTTTTATTTTCAAACTCAGGCACGTGACATGCTACAGTTCAATTCTAGCACACCTGTGTGAGACTTAACAACATTTGGAACTGACAGCCAGTGCTACACAAATCCAGCCTCTCCCTCTCTGTTTACTCTGCAGGCTGAAGAGCAACACATACTGGCTTTGTAGTACCCAGAAAGTGAAGTTCCTTTCAGGAGGTGATATCAACAACAGCACAAAACAGCACATCGCTCTGCAACGGAGCCTAGGCACCAGAGTCCTAGGGCTAAGTAGGAATGTCAGACTTCAGAGGCATTTTGAGGGGAACTTTTTATTTCAGATCAATATCACTTTAGGAAATACAGGGCCTGTTTCTCTCCGTTTCACGGCTGCTTTGACAACAGTTCCATCGCTTCAGGTCAATCTTTGCTTTTCAGAAAAGAAATACCGATAAGTACTTTTTTCAGGAATACTCATGGAAATGTGATTACTCCTATGCCCCTTCTTTTTCTCAATCCCCTTTACTCTCAGAGTAGTTTGGGTGAGGACCTTGTCTGGGAGGACTCTTGCGGGTCTTTCTGTGGAGCAGCTGGAGGTTCAGGAACTCACTGCAACCCCCTCTCCTGGCCTTTGTCTCAACTGGAAACAAAGGTCACAACCTTGTGGCCAAGTGGACA